TGTGTCTCTGCTTCCCTCTGTCTCTTTCTGTGTCTCTCATGAATAAGTAAATAAAATCTTTAAAAATAATAATTAGTGTTTATTTGCACCCAACAAAGTATGCCCAGACTTAGGAGGCCTCTAGTCACCAGAAATCAGTGCCTTTCTCTGAAGCAGAAAAGTGAAATCAAATTTAAAAGTATTCGACTTTAAGGGACACCTGGCTGGCTCAACTGGAAGAGCATGTGAACTCTTGATCTCAGGGTCAGGAGTTCAAGCCCCACAATGGATGTAGACATTACTTAAACAAAACTTAAAAAAAAAGTACTTGACTCTAAAATATGCAGTGTAGTGAGGATAAAATTCTATACTTAAGATATTCATAACTTTATAGAATTATTCATTATCATATGATGCAAATACAAGTATTTACTACTTAGTCTCTAGAGAACATCCTAATACATATCAAAAGTTACTCTTAACTGACAGTATGAAAAGTTAAGTACTATAAAATCAATAATAAGGGCACCTGGCTGGCTCAGTTGGTAAAGCATGCAACTCTTGATCTCAGGGTTAAAAGCTTGAGCCCCAGGTTGGGTATAGATTTAAAAATAAAATCTTTACAAAGAAAGTCAGTAATATAACTAACACATTTAGAAGATCCTTAAGTTCACTAAAGTGAAAACAGGAAAGCTGTAAAAGCACAGTAAAGTTGAAAAATCTCTTCAGTAAAAAGTTTGACAAAATGGACATCAATCATTCTAGAACTTTGATTCCTAGAGTCTTTAAAAAGTACTGTTTTATGAATCCTGGGTGGCTCAGTGGTTTAGCGCCTGCCTTCCAACCAGGGTGTGATCCTGGAGCCCAGGGATCAAGTCCTGTGTCAGGCTCCCTGCATGAAGCCTGCTTCTCCCTCTGCCTGTGTCTGCCTGTGTGTGTGTGTGTCTCTCATGAATAAATAAATAAAATCTTAAAAAAAAAAAATAAAAAGATTAAAATACTTACAAACTCTTCCTTAAAGACATTTAAGAGTCTAGAAGAAATGAAATGTATACAAATGGTAGAAAGCTTAAGAAATACACAATCTAGTTAAAATGTGAAGATTGCTCAGAGGGGAAAGATTATCTGCAGTTTGGTGGAGGGGAAAAATAAGGGTGGATTTAAAGGACAGTTATGGGCACCTGGGTGGCTCAGTGGGTTAAGCATCTGACTCTTGATTTCATCTCAGGTCATGATCTCAGAGTCCTGAGATCAAGCCCACAACAAGCTCTGCACTTATAGTGGAGACTGTTTAGGATTTTCTCTCTCTTTCCCTCTGCCCACTCCCCACGCCCCCCACCACCTACCACATGCTTTCACATACTCTCAAAAAAAAAAATTTAGGGGGGTGGGGGTGACTGGGTGGCGGGCACTGAGGTGGACACTTGACGGGATGAGCACTGGGTATTATTCTGTATGTTGACAAATTGAACACCAGTAAAAAATAAATTTATTAAAAAAAATTTAAAGGACTGATGGACTTTAGGGGTGTCTGGCTCAGTTACTAGAGCATGCAACTCTTGATCTCAGGGTTATAAGTTCGAGCCCCATGTTGGGGGTATAGATTACTCAAAAATTTTTTAAATCTTTAATAATAAACAAGATATAAAAAAATAAAGTAAAATAAAGGACACATAGACCTTAGACAAAGAGGCTTTCTGGAGAAAAGCACAAAAGATGGAAAACCACCATGAAAAGAATTTAATTTCACAGAAATGAAAAAAATTATAAAATACTAAACAATAATGTACCAGTTAGAGGTTGCCAATTATAGCAACTTGGAATATCCAGATGAGATCAAATCACCAATTAAAATATCTAAAATTGTACCACTCATTCTACTGATGTCCTAAATACTTTCAAATTAGTGACCCATGACCCCTTTCACCTGTTATATTTCCCAATGGAACAAGATGGTGAAACATTTTATCCATACTGTAACTTGGAATCAACTATTAATTCTCTTCATAAGACAAATTACTTTTCCAATTTTGAGTATACTCCTCAAAGTAAGAACAAGGATTCTCACTTTCCTTTCACTTTACACAAACAACATACACGAGTGATAATTAAGCTTCATTTTGAAATCACAATGTAGGGATGCTTGGGTGGCTCAGCAGTTAAGCCTCTGCCTTCAGCTCAGGGTGAGATTCCGGGTCCCGGCATCAGGCTCCCTGCATGGAGCCTGCTTCTCCCTCTGCCTGTGTCTCTCTGCCTCTCTCTGTGTCTCTCATGAATAAATAAAATAAATAAAATAAAATAAAAGATTTTATTTTTATTTATTCATGTCAGACACACACAGAGAGAGGCAGAGAGACACAGGCAGAGGGAGAAGCAGGCTCCATGCAGGGAGCCAGACGTGGGACTCGATCCCGGGTCTCCAGGATCAGGCCCCGGGCTGAAAGCGGCACTAAACCGCTGAGCCACGGGGGCTGCCCTAAAAATAAAATCTTAAGAAAAAAGAGAAATCATAATGTAAAAATTATGTTGTTTCACTTACTATGGCAAGATCAGTATTCTAGTCTCAGCTCTGTAATACTGTGCAAGTCGCTTCAGTGCTTTGTGCCTTAGTTTCCTAACTTGTAAAACGAGGTGGGGGGGGGGGGGTTCAACCTGGATGATCTGCAAAGGACCTTCCAGCTTTAAAATCCTATATTCAATTACATACCATCTTTTCTACAGAAGTCATTGTGACAAGGCCAACTATTAAAAAAAAAGATAGTCTTCCTCTAAAATCATGTATTACATGATTTTTTATTAAAAACTACCCTTTACTGAGCACGTACTAAGTGCCAGACTCTATTTCTTATTTCACTTAATCCTTATTTACACCCATAAAAGCAAGTGGTTCCCTTACTTTACTCACAGGGTATTATCCATCTCTTGCCAGGCCCAATCAAATTAGAGGTGGAAGACAAGGATTCAAATTAAAGCCTAAATCCAAAGCGAGCTCTAATAAACTATACTTGATGCCTCAAACAGAAAATATCAGAAATAAAATAAATGAACAAAAGCTGAAGAGGTGGGCTGTGACTCTGGTGATCTGGAGAGAGCACAGTCTTATAACAAGGCAGCTTGGGTGCCTTGTAGCCATGTGGAAGTAGACGAAAGAAGCCAAATTATCAGTCGTGTATGTCTGTGTGTGTGTGCGTGTGGACATGGACATGGACATGAAATCTCCCAATTTTCAAATAAAGGAAAAGAGATTCATCAGCTTTCAACTTCTGCTTTAAACAGTTCTAATTCAGATCTGTGAGGTTAATTTTGATACTCATAATTTTCCAAAATTCCCAGGTAAGTATTAAAATATGAGCATCAGCAAGAAAACCTAGGCTAAGAAGGGAAACCATATTTGAATCTTGGCTTTGCTACTACTAGTAGCGTGACATTGGTCAAGTTACTTCACCTCTCTAAACCACATTTCTTCATTTGTAAAGTGAAGATACTATCATCTATCTGGCAGGGTGGTTAGATTAATGGAGCATATGCACTATAAAGAACTCAGCATAGTACCTACTTCAAGGTAAGAGCGTGACAAATGAAAGCTATTATCATCTTTCAAAATCCCAGTAACACAGAACGTAGGATCTATGTTCACAGACATCCCAATTATGTCTATGACTACTGCCCAAAGTTCACCTTTAAAAGGTCATGCTTTGTCACTTTCCTGTATATCTAAAATTATTCTCAATTAGCTTATTTTTGAAATGTCACATGCACTCATTTCTAATAGAAAGTAACCAAACTTCAAAATAAATTTATCTTAAACCTAACGCTGAACCAACTATCAAACACTGTTCTCAGTGGCTAACAGGTTTTTAACGTGACGCTGCAAATCGTGTTGCCAAGGGTTCAGACTTCTGAATCGGGTGAGTATAAGGGAAAGTCAGGGATGAGTCCCACAGCAGTTTGAGCGCGAAATACACCTGCAAGTCCAAGCGAGCACTTCCCAAATGGTATATAGTTGGAGGAGCCCGAAAAGCGAGGCCTGAACTAACTGCACCTGGCAGAACGATTTCCCCCCAGGTGAAGGGACGGGAGCCGGGGGCTTTGTGCCCCCAAACTATCGTTTCATTCTTAGCCACATGCTTCCGTCAACAGCTGGGTTTCAGAGCTTCCTGCCATCTTCCCCCATGACCCGCTGCAGGCTGCGGCGGAGCGGGTAGCGCTTTAGGTTCCTGTCGGCCTGTGGAGACAGGCGAGAGGGGGCAAAGGCCCGCGCGGCCCCGAGGGGCACAGGAGACAGGTCGAGCCACCCGTGCCCAGGATCGAGCCCTTCCCGGGCGGGACCTACGACCCTCCACGCCGGGCCTGCAGAGCTCTGGGGCGCGGCCGCTGCCCCCCGGGCCGAAACGCCGCGCTGGGGGCTGTGCTGGGGGCGTAAGGAGCAGCTCGGGGGCTCCAGGAGAGAAAGGGCGGCCAAGGGAGGGCCGGGCATGTGGACTCCCAGCCACGGTGGGGCGCGGAAGTCGCCGCCAAGGCCCCGAGCCGCCCGTCCCGCCCCTGCCGAACCCGTCCCAGGTCCCGGACCCATCGCGCTCCTCTCACCGTCTCTGCTTCTGTGTGCTGGGGTCCGGCGCTCTGACCCCCCATCACCCCGCGGAGGAAATTCATCTTTCGCTCAGCCACCGGCTCCGCAGGCCCCCCCGGGAAAGAAAAGGCAACTTTCCCCGGCCTCGGCAGCGCCCGGCCCCCAGGCCCGCACTCCGCACTCCCCGGCCGGCCACCGACGCCTCCCACTCAGGGGCCGCTCCGGCGTCCTAAGCCCGGAAACAGCCGCGGCCGCCGGTCTGAATGCGCGTGCGCGGGGACGTGGCGTTACGTGGCGGCCGAGGGGCGCAGGCGACGGGGGCAATGGAGGCGAGAGGAGGCCCGTAGCCCGTACCCAAGCCCGCCCACTGCGCAGGTCCCGCCTCCCTCGGCGGGGACACGCCCCCGGCCCCGGCCCCGGCCCCGGCCCCGGCCCCGGCCCCGGCCCCGGCCCCGCCCGCCGCCGGTCGGTCCCGCCGGTCGGTCCTGCGGCCCCGCCCCCCGCGCGGTCGAGGCCCGGCCCCGCCCCGCAGGCCGCAGGGGGTTGCGGTGGCGCGTTCAGGCTTGCGGGGCGCTGCTTTGTCGCCGGGGGGGCTTGCTGCTGCCGAGCCTGGGCTCGTATTCTGTTGAGTCGAAAGTGAAATTTTACGTCGGCGACGTTGCAGGTAAGGGTCCCGGCCCCTGGGGGGTTCGTTTGATTTTGCGGTCTAGCAACGCGAGCCTTAGGGCCTTCTGAGCCTCGTAAGTCGCATTTCTTTACAGGCTTTGTTTAGTGGTAAACGAGGGTGCGAGAGCCCCCTCACTCCATTGCCGCCGGGGGGCGCGTTTTTCGGTTCTTGCTCTTCAGACCCGTTACAAAAGGAGTTCCTAGATCTTAACACCAGGTACTCCGCTATTTTCAGATGCTGTGAAGTTGAAATCGATCGAACCCTGCATTTAGTTCATTAGAGAAAATGCATTGATCTGTAGTGTCATTTTGGCGGCTAATTACGTAATATTTTGTTATTACTTCTCAACCCCTGCATTTTCAGTGTTTTTTTTAAACATGAAAAATGTCGTTTTTTTTCCAAAATGGTATGCCCTGCCCCTTTCGAAATGAGATTGCCCAGGCGGCTACACCTGCTTCTGGAGTAGCCTTGTAAATTTCTTGAGCGCGGGGCCGAGTTAGCTTACTAATCCATACACCTCTTCACTTGGATCCCCTACAGGTCTCGAATTCAGCATTTAAAACTGAACTCATCATCTTCCCCAGCCTACATTAAAGGGGGGGGGGGAGAGAGAGAAATCAATATGCTTCTTTGTGCCTTACCACTCTCAACAGTACCACTAGCCAAATAATTGCCTAAGCTAGAAGGAGGACACTGGGAGGAATCTTATGTTCTGGATTTCTCACCCACCTGTCCAGTATTCAAGCTCTTTCATTTCTATTTATAGAATATTTCTCAAACAGGTCCTATGCTCTTCATCCTTGCTGCCTTTGACATAGCTTATGTTCTCATCATTTTTCACCAAGATTATAGCAGTAGCTTTCTAACTAGTTTGTCTGCGTTCAAGCCCTGGCTTCTGTCCAGTCCAGCCTCCAGTCCAGTCACCCTTGGATGAGCCTAACAATGACAAAACATCTGTCCGTGTAGGCACTCTTCTTAAAATCTTCCCGTGGTTGTCCATCTGCTCCATAATAAAATCTAGTCTCTGTAGCTTGGTATACAGACCTGTTATGTTCTGGCTCCTATCTTTCCAGCTCCTGCCTCCCCCACGTACTCTGGAATTTTGACGGGATATGCCCTTCCCCTCCCACCTCCTCATCAAGGAAACTACTGATTCCTTAAGATTTAACTCTGGCACCATCTGAAAGCTTTCCCTGAAATTCAGGTACCTATGTCTATGCTACCACTTTGCAGTTGTTAGTATGTGGAAAGCACTCAATAAATGCTTGTGAAGCCTACTGTTTAAGGGCAGGACTATGTTATTTATTCATTTTTGTATCTTCATATTTTGGCGCTGGCATAAAAGGTGATATTGATGGATAAATGAAGAAGACATTGTGTATATTTGAATATTTTGCTGAGGAGGAGGATCCTTTTTTCGTCTCTGGGGTGGAATTGTAGATAACATATATCACCTAGGCTCTAGCGAAAGTTCCTTTCCTACTGCCAAGATATTAATTCAGCACGGGTGACTTGGAGAATGGTTGGGATCATACTGCCCCAAATCCTGTGCACTAAGCATTGTCTTCTGCTTTAAAACTGGACACTTGACATTTAATTCAGACATTTTCCATGGGGGTATTTGTTGCAACCTTAAAAAAGTGACCAATAAACACTCAGCATTGTTATTACCAAGTAATGTGTGTAAAGAATCACTCAGTCCCTAAGCCCCACCCCTTCCTGATGAGCTTCTCACCTTCCTCCTGTGCCTCACTCAATCCCCATCATCTGCATTGGGGCCCATGGATTTCTACTACATGGATTCTTTCCTTTTTTTTTTTTTTTTTTAAGGGAATTTATTTATTTATTCATGAGAGACACACAGAGAGAGGCAGAGACACAGGCAGAGGGAGAAGCAGGCTCCGTGAACAGAGCCTGATGCAGTACTCAGTCGATCCCAAGATTCCAGGATCACGTCCTGGGCCGAAGGCAGCCGCTCAACTGCTGAGCCACCCAGGCATCCCTACGTGTATTCTTTCCTAATAAAGCAAACAAACAAAAATAGTGCCTGACATTTTAGCTAAATAAATTCCTTGAAGGCACCAACCTGGTCAAAGTGCCCTGCTTTGTTTTAAACTGGTGAGTAGCTCAGTAACAGCGTATGAATTTTCCTTCCAGTTGATCTGTTTTCTTCCCTAACAGGATCCCCCTGGCAGGAAGGACTGTGGACAGGAGGGATGGACAGTTGAGTCCAGAGAAGGTGAAGATAGAGCCCTCAACCCCCCCCCCCGCCCCCCCTGACCTCATAGTCTTGCCTCTCTTGGTGTCTGGCAAGGGGTGGAGCTGCTCACCACTTCCAGTCTCAAGAGGAAGCAGAGGGTTCAATGGCTACTTTGTCCCTCATTTGGGGTCTGAAAGAGGAGCAGAGGCATCATGACTAAGGAATAGCCAGCCATGAAATGGACTCGTTATTTAAGAGAAAGAGAGTTACAAGTGAATGTACTTTCACTAATTTTATAGAGAAAAGTCAGGGACCATGTCTTGTGCCTGTTTGTAACTTTTAATCATTTAGTAGAATTCCTTTAATACGATAGATGTTCGCAAACCGTTTCTTTAAATAAAGGAAAAGAAAACATGTAAAAATCCTGACCACCTGACTTAGGCCATTATGCTTCAGAATTTCATAAATCTAAATGTCTGGGATAAGAATGCCAAAAATCCTTATAAAACATGTAATAAAAATTTTTAACTTGGGTGAATAAAAGTGATTTCTCTTTAAGCCAAACCTGATAACAAAGCAACTAACAAAATTTGAAATTCATTTTTAAAATTGCATCCTCACAATCCCCTACTTCAGTGTCTCTTCAGTGGCCCACTTTCCCCATCCTTTCTTACTTTCTAGTGGCAAACTCAACAAAGCAATGAAATATAATTGCACAAGATTGTGTTTTGGTTGGGAAGATGGTAGTGCGGTGGAGTATTGTTACCTGCTTAGAAAGGTGAGATAATTTGTATTTGAAATACACCATACACAGATCTCTAAAAACTGCAAAATCAGTGTCCAGAAACATTGTTTTTGTTTTTTTTTTTTTAAGTCAGCTCTACGCACCACATGGGGCTCAAGTCATGACCCTGAGATCAAGAGTCACACGCTCTACCCACTTAGCCAGCCAGATGCCCCCAAATATTGTTGATACAATTATGCATTACTATCCATTAACCAAACATACAGAAAGATAAATTACTAATGATGAAGCAGCTATTGAAATTCATAACCAATCAGGGATCCCTGGGTGGCTCAGCGGTTTAGTGCCTGCCTTCGGCCCAGGGCGTGATCCTGGAGTTCCCGGATCGAGTCCCACGTCGGGCTCCCTGCATGGAGCCTGCTTCTCCCTCTGCCTGTGTCTCTGCCTCTCTCTCTGTGTCTCTCATGAATAAATAAATAAAATTTTTAATAATAGTAATAATAACATTAAATACATAGGTGGTGTGCCTTATTTACCAGTCTCTGTCTATTAAAAGTGTTTTGCATAAAATACTTTACTTGATCCTCACAACAACCTTATGAGATGGGTAGTGATAGTAGATGGTGAAACAGGCAGAGCATTATTTGCCTGATACCCTACAGCCAGGAAGTGGCAGAGCTAAGACATAAGTCTGAGATATGGCTCCAAAGCCTGTGCTGTTAGATACTATGCTATCCAGACTCTTCTGCACCCATGGCAACCATCATGCACTAGGTAGAAATATGGCCTACAAGTCCCTATATAATCTGACCTGTTATATAGGGTTATCCCTATATCCCCTGATATAGGGTTATCCCCTCTGTTATCCCCCTGACCTCATCTTCTGCTGCATTCCCTCCACTCCAGGCACACTAGCATCTTGTTTCTGAAACTTAACTCCCTCTTTCCCTTGTTCTTTTCCTGTATTGGGGATGCTTGCTACTCCAATTCTCTGGAGGAATGGCTTGCTCCTTCACCTGTTTGATTAGGTATGCTCAAGCGTTACCCAGGTCTCTCCTGACTATTTTAAGTTACAGTTTCCTCATACTCCTTCTCCCTCTGCTCTGCTTATTTTTCTCTGTAGCACTTGCCAGTCTGATACATTATTTTCCCATATGTATTATTTTCCTATATTTCATCAGCTATAAGGTACCATTAAGTGTCCCTCAGAGAAGGAAAAAAATTAAACCGTGCCAATTGTCTGATGCATCTACCACAAGATGCATCCCAACTTCAGGTTTCACAAAATGTGAAAAGATGTTCATTGTAGGACTAATGGAGTATAGTATATATTTTACATCTTTATCTTGTTTATTATCTATCTCCTCATTGCCAGCAGAATGGGAACCCCTAAGGGCCGTAATTTTAGTCCTTTTGTGAAATGTTTTATCCTCAGTGCTTAGCACAGTGTCTAACACATAATAAGCACTTGGTAACTCTAATGGGTGAATGAACTCCCCAGATGAAGAGATTCCTGCTTTCAGCCTGTGTGCAGGGAGCAGAAATTCTGCAACGTTGCTAAGCGTTGCATGGTGGCCGGACTTAATAGAGTCTGCATCGGGGTCCTCAGAAAATTTTATTAACATGCTAATTTTAGTTTATGAATATTTTGTTGGCCGTTAATGACTAACTTAATAATTAATGTTTAGTCATATGTAAAAGTAAATGTTGTGTGGGAGGAAGAATTTATATTTTTAGGACTAGATGTCAGCCCACTGGGAGAACCATCTCAACCTCCAAATGGCCAGCTTACCTTGCTTGGAGATTCACACTGATGAAATGGTTTTCTTCTCTTTCCTCCACTCCTCCTCCTCCTCCTCCTCCTCCACTCCTCCTCCTTCTTCCCTTCCTCCTCCTTTTTCTTTTTTTTTTTTTTTTTTTTTTTTTTTTTTTTTAAATTTTTATTTATTTATGATAGTCACACACACACAGAGAGAGAGAGAGAGGCAGAGACACAGGCAGAGGGAGAAGCAGGCTCCATGCACCGGGAGCCCGATGTGGGACTTGATCCCGGGTCTCCAGGATCGCGCCCTGGGCCAAAGGCAGGCGCCAAACCACTGCGCCACCCAGGGATCCCCCTCCTCCTTTTTCTAAGACAGGTAATGTATTCACATGGTTAAAATAAAAAGTACCAAAAAGTGTATAGTAAAAAGTTCCCCTGGTATATTCCGTGGCCACCCAGAAAATCAATGGAAACTGTTCTTGTTTATCCTTTTAGATATACAAATATGTATATTTAATATCTCTTTCTCTTTTTTTAAAAAAATAACATAGATAAGGGACGCCTGGGTGGCTCAGCGGTTGAGCTTCTGCCATTGGCTCAAGGTGTGACCCCAGGGTCCCCACGTGGAGCCTGCTTCTCCCTCTGCCTGTGTCTCTGCCTCTCTCTCTCTCTGTGTCTCATGAATAAATAAATCTTTTAAAAAATTAAAATAATAATAATAACATAGATAAATGTAGCACATTGTATATACTGTCCTATACCTTTTTCCCATTTAATGTATCTTGGAGATTGTTCCACATCAATATATAGAGGGTGGTACATATCTTCAACCTTTCTTATTGTGTTCTGTGAAGTGCCTTTCAAAATATGTTTTTATTTTTTATTTTTTTAAGATTGTATTTCTTTATTAAGAGAGAACAAGTATAAGCAAGGGGAGGGGCAGAGAGAGAAGGTGAAGCAGACTCTCTGCTCAGCAGGGAGCCTGATGCGGGGCTCCATCCCAGGACTCTGGGATCATGACCTGACCCCAAGACAGATGCTTAACTGACTGAGCCACCTAGGTGCCCCTCAAAATACTTTTTAAAGTCCTAAGAATTCATGGGACACCTGGGTAGCTCAGCGGTTGAGCGTCTGTGTTAGGCTCAGGGCATGATCCCAGGGTCCCAGAATCAAGTTCCACATCAGGCTCCCTGTATGGAGCCTGCTTCTTCCTCTGCCTGTGTCTCTGCCTCTCTTTCTTCATGAATAAATAAATAAAATCTTGAAAAAAAAATAATAGAGTCCTAAGAGTTCCTAAGGAGATGAGGGTGCAAGAAAGAAGGTTCTGGGACCCCATCCTGTTCCATTCTATCGATTTCATTTGTTTACATTGCTGATTTCATTTGAACAAAAAGATTGAGAGGCTAAAATTTTGGATGGCCACCTCTCTTAGGGGATGTGAAATGTGATCAAGGCATGGACTCACAATAGTCAAGGAGCCTCACATGCTCTAGAGTC